CTAATAAACACATAGAGTTACTCCACACATAATAATAACCGATCACAATTTGATTCAGCATATTTTGTACCACCTCTAGCAAAACTAGTGTGAGGGATCTGACAAAAAGTGGCTTGGACTATATCAACTAGATGAAAAGACTTGGAATGTGCCATCAGAGATAAGACATAACATTGTCACATGTAAGTTGGTTTTATAAAAAATTGCAATAATCCATATTCTTTCTTTTCTTTTATGGTGTTCATATGGATGTGAAATTGATGAGCCTGGAATATCTTTTGTGACCAAAATTAGTAAGTACTAAAAGAACTGATCAACTATAGGATACTTTCAACATCAAAATATATAATAATGGGAATGTATTGTAACTCATCAAATAAAATAGGAATCATTGATTTATACTGATAAAAACTTTTCTAGGCCGGGCGCTGTGGCTCACGCCTGTAATCCTAGCTCTTGGGAGGCCGAGGCGGGCGGATTGCTCAAGGTCAGGAGTTCAAAACCAGCCTGAGCAAGAGCGAGACCCCGTCTCTACTATAAATAGAAAGAAATTAATTGGCCAACTGATATATATATATAAAAAATTAGCCGGGCATGGTGGCGCATGCCTGTAGTCCCAGCTACTCGGGAGGCTGAGGCAGAAGGATCACTCGAGCCCAGGAGTTTGAGGTTGCTGTGAGCTAGGCTGACGCCACGGCACTGAGACTGTCTCAAAAAAAAAAAAAAAATTTCCTAAAAAAAAAAAAAAAAAAAAAAAAAAAACAAAAAAAAAAACTTTTCCAATAAATATAAATGGGTATAAGACAAAGCTTTTCTTTACATTGGAATGCCTACCAATAAATGTAGAGAATATTATGGTATTAGAAAATCACTATCTGACAGCCATCATGTAGTAATTCAAATGAGAAATATCAATGGATGCTAAAACTGGTGGCTGAAAATCTGATGAGAAATGGGATATTTACATAATTTCATAGTCCCCCCAATACTTAGTGAATTCTAAAGGAAATACTAAGAATAACTTCACATTGGAGAATCTTGGCAGATACCATCTTGATCAAATGATTGAGGTTAGAATCCCCCGTAATGGGAAAAATCAAAACTGACTGAGAGACCAGCAAAGTAAAACTGTTATTTGGTATAAAATTGCTTTGTTGTTCTTCATATATCTTCTTTATAGGATTGAGAGGCATGCCTCCCATGTAACTAGCATTTCAGAGATAATCTACCCAGGCAGATGGCATTCAACAGCAGAAACAGTGACCAGCAGATGGGTAAAGTGACACTGTTTTTGTGAGTGATGATAGAATGTGTGGGAAACAGTCGCACTCTACTAAAGAAATGGTAGTTACCCTCACGCAGCTGATGCTTGTTGAAATATGTACAAACACACAGATTTCCTGCCCAGGCTGGTCACAGTGAAGGCAGGATTTATGGAGCCAGGCACTGCACTGAACAGCACATGATTGATTTCATTCCGTCTGCTGAAGGCATTCTTGTGGTGGAAAGGTTTACCTCGGTCTTACAGTGGAGGAAACTGAGGCTCAGAGATTCTGTAATATGCTCAAGGTGACCTCTTAGCCTTCAGGATTCAGCCAGAAACAAATGACCCCTTTTCTATGTTCAGGTCCATGATACTTCGTTTTATAGCTTTTTTATCTAAAAATAATGCTGCACTAAAAATCTATTTTAAATTTGTGTTTATAAATTGCTGAAGGTAAAGAATTAGGACAGATTGGTGATAACAGTAGAGGTAGATATTTGTATTTTTTTTTCTATAACAAATAATAGATTTTTTTAAAAGATAGTAAAATAGAAATAGACATACTCAACATTTGTTCTGGAGGAGCTAAAAATCAGGAATTGGTACAGAAAGTAATTGTGTGTGGTTGGCCAGGCTATGGAAATCATAACAATGAAATTTGGAATTCTAGCGAGATCTAGAATTGTTTGGAAAACCAAACAATCTGTCACACTTTTTTAAATCGAATTATAAACTACATGAGATATAAAGTATATAGCTTTGAAGTTGAAAATAATTAATAATTGCTTAAGAATACACATTCATACATTCATAAGTATAAATATCTAGCAAAGTAAAGTCTCAACAAATGCTGGATGAAGGGATAATAAGCACTTTAATTTTTTGTATAAAGATTTTTATAATAATTATTATAATAATAAAATTTTAATGTAGAAAATTTAGAATAAAATCATAGTAGATTTGCCTCTATTTTCTTTATACTTACATACATATTTTGTAAAATTGAGATGAGGGATATATAATGATGTGTTTTACTTTTTCTGATTAATGTATCATCAGATCATTAAAATAAATAAGAAATAAGAAAATTCTTATTCTACCAATGATCCGTTTTATTAATATAAAAAGATCCATGTGTAGAATAAAAATTCAGTTTAAAGCATTCACGAACAAACACAAATAGACTTGACTCAAAATCTTAATAAACTTTTTAAAAATACAATGTGTGAAGTACACCAAAGATGGGCAAAAACCAACTAGAAAGCAGTGGGGTGATGTAAAAGTTGCACTCATAAATGACAAGCAGATGGCTGTTAAGAGTTAACAGTAAGGGTTTTGGTCTTACTATTAAAGGCTTTAAGTATTCCTACACCAGTACTCTCCTTAAGAATGCCTAAGTCCAAACTCAAGTACTCATAGGATCTTTTCGAAAACCAGCTAGAGAGCTAAACATAAAGAAAAACTTGGGAATCACCCAAGAATTCTGAAGGAATTTGAGGGCAAATTTAGAAATCTTGCTGAAAATATGTTAGCCACCATGAAAGAGAAATGAAGATTGTTGATACTGTACTTGTTAATAAAGAGAGCCCTATAACAAACTCAAATATCTTATTAGTGAGCACTGGATTGCCATGATATAGATTCACTGCTATAAAAGTATTCTAATCTGTGGAAATAACAGTTTCTTGCTGAATGAATACACATGTGAAACCTTCACTAAGGTTATAGGCAAAGGCAATTTAAATAATTGAATAAATATGAAAATATTTGTTATTAAAAAATAGATTCTGGAAAAGAATTAAAGGGTACAGATAACAGACATTTCTGGGTGAGTATAAATATTTGATTTTAATTAGGGATCTGGGCTAGGAGAAGTTTCATTCTTGTTTTTTATAAATTATTAGAAAGATAAACAATGATACTATTAAGACTTTTCAAACCAAAATACTAAAGCAAAAGAAATAAATTACAGGAAAAGTCCACAAGTTTATGGGAAAAGGCTGAAAGGTCACACATGGCTTCATTGTAAAGAATTGTATTCAAAGAAAAAACCCAGAACAAATGGATTCAGTATTTGTGGCCTAAACTTTCAGTTGCAAAGAGAGTTACAAGGCATTGTAGATTATTTGCTTAGAAATTACCCTTTCAGAGATACATGATAAATCTTTAAAATGACTGGATTTTATCATTCATTCAGCAAATAATTATTGAACACCTGTTTTATGCCACATACTTTTCTTGGTGGTTGGCATATTATTATATCAATGAACAAAACAGAAGAAAAGTCCCTGCTCTTTTGGAGCTTACATGTCAAAGTTTCTGTTAAAAATGACAAAGACTGTAACATTATTCTTCCTCCCAACAAATCTAGAATGTTCTTTAATAAGTCACGTTCTTTAATAAACATGTCTTGGAAGATCTAGTGAAGGTCAACTCAAGTATCAAGAAGATGAATTGCCTCTAAATAGAGTTAAAAATTAGTATATCTATTTGGAAAATATAAATAGGTTCAAAGAGAGTGTTAACAAAATCATGGAATATGTTATGGGAACAACCCTTCCTCTCAAAGGTGATTATTATGGCCTGAGTTGTGACCCATGAGAGTATCTACTGTTTTATGTCATAAAATATACATAGAGCTCTAAGGTATTTAAATTTTTTTAATAAAAAGAAGAATTATGGAGGGTAATGAGAAAGAGATTGTCTTTAACATGTAAATCTTTTAAAGAGATCTTTTGGAAAGAGTATAGATCCTCTTTGATGGCCAGAGATACAAAGCTGTAAAAAATTAAGAGGAAGTTTAGTGAACTTCTAAAACCAACCAAGCAAGCAAACAAAAAGACTTGAGAAAACCCAGATGCAGCATGGCAGGCCCAGTTGAAAGTGTTGAGAGGAAAAGAAAGAGGAGACAGATAGTTCAAAGCAACAAAATACAAAACAGAAGAAAATGAGAAACAAAAATAGAAGATCTAGAGAAAAATCCAGAGAAAAGGAAACCTGAGAAACACCCATGGAAGTGGTGGTGGCACCACCTCAGGGACCGGTAAGAGATGAATGTTGGAGCTAGGAAACGTTTAGTGACATATTTGTAACAGCTGCAGGGTACGGAGCTTACAGATATACCTATAAAGCAGGTTGTGACTGAACCATGTTTTCACTTAAGAGTAAAAGAAGTCAGGCATGGGCCTATAAGAAAAGAATGTTTCTATCCTTCTACCTCAGAAATATCCTCGTCTGGCAGAAGTGGACAGGCAGGAAAACAAGGACTCCAAAGGCCCCGGTTAGAGGAGGGGTCAATAAACTGGAAAAGGCAGTGGCAACTGGGAACTTTGATTAAAGATTTCAACCCATGACCAACTGAGAGACGTGAGACCGGGCTTATCACTGAACTGATTTTTATCTCCCAACCCCCTGTACTCAGCTAGAACTGACCGTGTGTGCCAAACTGCAACAGCTAGAGAAGAGAGACTCCAAGAAGAGAAATTCACAACATCCAGAGGTGACCATTCCTTTGGTTTCCTCGGGGAAGAAAAGAAGCTAAGGAAACATAGCTTTTTGAGGTGACATCAGAGCAGGTCATTTGTCAGGGTAGCTACCTGAGCACCTTGTGTGGGCTGCTGGCTTAGCAGGGAAGGTTGGGACCTGGCCCATTATCTAGGCGGAACTTATTATAGGCTAGTGGTGACCTGGGAACAGTGTCCCTCTCCAAAGCCACTGTCACAGGCAGGGCCCTTACCTGGCAATACTGGGATGGCATTTGGCATTTCTTTCATTGTTATGTTGGGACATCGTGAACACTTTCACTGGTGTCCTTTACCACTCCCAAATGGACACAGCCATGCTGAAGGCAGTTCCTCTTGCTTTTGCTCTCACCGGATAGATAACACCAACCACACCTGAGAACGCCAAACACTGGGTTTACTAGAACAACTGAAGCAGAGTTTTGACAAAGAAGACACTACAAAAATTACAAATTCCCTTTTGCATGGTCTTAAATTAAGAAGAGGAACATTGACTGTCCAAGATTTCTCAAAAACTCTAGTAGGGCCCTCAGCAGTCTTTATTTAGACCCAATTTCTCAAAACTGTACCTAGTTAGAACTTGCCAGGCTCATGGGGTTTTCCACACTTCTGAGCAACGTTTTTCATCTTTACGCAGAGTTTTGGCAGTTGGCAGCTGCAGGGTCACTGGCAGTCTCTGGATTCATAAAGAGACCCCTGAGCGCACACACCCTGGCCAGCAGACGCTGCTGTTGGTAACCACCAATGAGCTGCCGTCTTTTCCTATGATAGAACAATCTAGTTCAAAGAGAACTGTGGCTGCCACTTACTGTCAAAGTTATCGATTCAGCTGATCAGAGAGTTGCTGCCAGCAATTAGGCACCTCTGCTATCCTTTCCTCAACAGATGTTTTGTTGGTTGGTTGGTTTTTATTTCAATTTCCTCAGAGACCTTTTTGTTCGCAGAGTTCTGGAACTCCAGCCCAGCTGGCCATTCAAGTCCTCTGTTCAGGACTCAAACAAAACTGTCCTGGAAAATGACTTACCAAGGGTAGAACGAGACCCGAGGGAAGTGTCGCAAAGCGAAACTGGCTCTTTGGATCCGCCGGGTGAGAGTGAAAGTAAAGGTCACTTTTTGGTGAGACACTCTGAATGTTAGTAAAAGTGGAACTGTGTGCTAGGGAGGAGAGTGGGAGTTGAAGGTCGGGGGGAAATTTGGTGGCTACAGTGACTCTGATCAGCTTGTGAATGGACTCTATGCTATGTCGCTGGACGCTTCGATGAGTCTGGAAGGGTAGGGGCAAGAAAGGAAGTTTTGAGGTGTGAGGAAAGTTCAGAAAACATAATCAAATGTTCCATGAAAGGCAGCAATGGGGTGGCCGTGGCGACACTTTATTTAGTGCTTGGCAGGACCACGGGAGGACTCGCCACAGAAACCACAGGACGTTCCGTGCAAGACGGCCTGTGCTTGCCGGCCGGCTGCTCAAAGAGCAGCAGGCTCCAGGGTGGAACATCTGGCTCTTAGGCATCGTTTTGTGTCTCATGTGTTTAAAATTAGTTTTGAAGAATTATATTGTGTGCCTTAAAATCAAACAAACAACCCCCCCCCAAAAAAAAATAAAAGACAATAGGTATTCCAAACAGAAGACAGAAATAATAGTTCTTCCTCATGAGCATCATGGCTTTTGCCTTAGGCAAATTTAGAGCTGGAAGCCCAACACTGCTTCGTGCAATACACATCCACATGTTCTCCTGTCCTTGTGTGGTCGTGGGAAACGCCCCGGACCTGGGATCGGAAGACCTGGATTCTGGATTAACTAACTAGCTAGATTCGGGCAAGTTCTTAGCTCATTCATTTGTATATTAATTAATACATGCATTGATTTATTCAGTGGCGATATGCCAGGAGCCTGCTATGTGCCTGAGGTTCTCGTTTTCCTCATATGTAAATTAAAGAAACTACGCTAGGTCAACTCCAGCGAGGAAATCATATAATTGAGTTTAAATGTCACACTTTTTTTGGCGTATTGAGATAAAAATCTAGGTCATCTGTCTTGATACATAAACTTATTTATCAGTTTATTGGACCATGTGTTTTCAAATAGTAGCCTGCTTTATTTTTTCTTTATTGAATAGTTTCATATTATGAAATTATTAAATACACCCTCTTTAACAAGTAAATATTAGAGAACATAAAAGACAAAGTTAATAATATTCTTATTCTTCTTTCAATTCCATCCTAGTATGATAATTAGTATTAACACCAGTCTTCCATAGTCTCTCTGTGCTCATATAAGTATAGTATATGTACTATATATACACACGGTATGTGTGTCTATATGCACATATATATGCTGTTTTTCTTTTTTTAATATAAATATAATCATATTATATATTACTCTGCTAATTATTTGATTATTTTGCATTCCTGAAAAACATCTCTGAATATTCCATCAGGCTCATACATATTGTTCTAGTTATTTTAAATAGTCAAATAATATTTGAAAATTATGAATGCACCAAATTTATTTAATCATTTATCTATGATGAAATATCCAGTTGTATCTATTTACTTTTCTTTTTAATGTCACTACAATCAATGCATAATAGAAATACCTGTCTAGATATAGTCTTACAAGCTGGTGTTTTATTCACATAGAATGGATTTACCAAAGTTAGATTTTGGGGTCCAAGGTATGAACAGTGAACCTTTCAATAATGCTTCCAGATTATTTCCTAAATTGGTTTTAATGATTTTCATTTCTATCAGCTATACGTAAGAATTCTTATTTTCTTACAATTGAAGTCAGCCTTCGATGTTACTAATATTTTCACCAACAATGGATATTCCATTGTTGTTTCAATTCATATTTTCCTACTTACCAGTGATGTTGATCATATTAAAATATGTTCGTTAGTCATTTGCTTGTTCTCTTCCATACTTGTTAGTCCTGGTTCTTGACTGATTTTTCTTTATGAATACCTTATCTCTTTCCCATTTGTGGTAGTTCTTTGTCTAGTTAGCATTTTAACAGGTAATAGTTGTCGTAGAAAAAATACAGAGCAACGTCAGTGGGATCAGGGCCGTGGGGTGTTGGCGGGGGAGGTGAGGATTGCAACTTTTAAACGCGGTGATGGAAGCTGGTAGGGCTCATGGAAAGGTGACATTTGTGCAAGGCTTGCAGGAGGTGTCGGATGAGCCATGTGGCTCGCTGGGGAAAGAGGATTCCCTGTAAGGGTGGCAGTGCAGAGACCCTAGCTAGGGCTGGAGCTAGCCTGGTGTGCCCAACGCCCAACAGAGAAGGGAAATCCAACTGGAGTCGAGGGATATGGAGGGGACAGCTAGCAGGAGCAGGTTGTGCCACGAAGGTACAAGGCAGCAGCTCCAGGAGCCCTTGCAGGCTTTGCAGACAGCTTATCTTTTACTCCGGGTGGACAGAGGAGTGATACGATGCGACATACTTGGAAAGGTCCCTCTTGCTGCTAGGTTTAGAACACCCCATAGGGTGAAGGCACAAAGACCGTTTAGGAAACTACTGAATTTCTGTGGGCTCCGCATGGTAGAGGTTTGGACAGAGTGGCAGCCAGGGCTGCAGAGAGAAAAAGTAGGATTCGGGGTGTAATTTGGATTTAGCCACTAAGAAGGGAAAGGGAGGAGAGAAAAAGCTCAAAGATGCTTTCAAGTTCTTTTAGACTAAGCTACTGGAGAAAATGAAGTTCCCCTTTATTGAGACAGGGAAGACTGAAAGAGAAGCAAATTTGGGATAGTTAGGGAGATGAGGAGTTTTGTTTTCTGAAGGGTTTTTGTTTTGTTTTGTTTTGGTTTGGTTTTTGAGACTCTTATTTGGGATGTCTTTTTAGACGTTCCTAGCAGACATACTGAGTAGGTAGATGAACGTGCAAGCCTTAACCAGTGTAAGCCTTTTGCTAAACACTCTACATGTGTTACCTCACTAAATCCTCACCATAGCACAATAAGGAAGCCATTATTATTCCCTGATCCTCAGGTGAGTTAAATATGATGATAATCAACTTGTTCCTTAAAGGTAATCTACAAATTATTATTCTCACAGGCCATTTTATCATAGATAAACTTATTTTTCTGACCTTTTAAGATGCAAATTTATTTAAAGATGTTGGAATGTTAGATTTGGATATATCTTGTTTTTTTTTTTTTTCTTGTACTAAGCACCTGAGGAGCTATCTAATTTTGTATTTATGAGGGTTGCCCTGACCTTTCGATTCAAACTAGAAATAAATTTATTGACTCCAAAGGGCAAAGAGCGAAGAGCAAAAGAGGTGGTTGGTAAGAGGAAAATCTTTTCATTGGAAAAGAACAGTCATGGAAGGTCATGATAGTGAAAACATGGTATGTGTGGTCTGAGTTTTTTTTTTGTTTTGTTTGCTGTTTATTTTTTTGCTGCCGTTAACTACTACTGGAAATTGAAGAAGAAAGATGAGGGAACCCTGGATGTTCAGAGAATTGTTCAGAAATGCACAGAGAAACAGCCTTCAAAGCAGTGAAAAACAATGGTCCGTGATATATTTAAATCTAAAGCATAAAAAAGATATTAAGCTTTGACAGTGGTAAAGCAGAAACTTCCAAATCAAAAAGAATAATTATAAGTCCCAGGAAAAATCAAAGAAAATTCCATGAAATTTAAATCTACTCAAGTTTGGAAGAAACCAGGATCCGTGAATGAATAATTTATAATTGTTGAATGTTAATGAATTGGGCAATTCTATGTAGCTGCTATGTATCTTTAAGTCTTACTCTCTGTTATTTCATAAGTTTGGTGATTTTCTAAATTGTTCTATTTAAGTGCTCTAACACTGAGTTAAGGTCAGGGTGAATGAAAATCAACAAGAAGCACAGATTTGGGGCATAGTAACCACCCAGAGGAGAAGGGCAATTTAGACAAGGAGACTAGAAACTGTGGGTGATATGAGAAAAAGTATGCTCTTTGTCCCTGTCCCTTTGTCCCTGGCACAGAACTCCTAATACCTTTGGAATGTCCTAGGTGAGGAACGAATGTCTTTTGTTGTTTGAACTACATAGTCCCCTTTGACCACATTTAAATTTATGCTAATGAGGCCTCTCAGGGTAGAGCCCATAGGTAGCTTCAGCGTGGGGGGCACCAGAAAGACCAATCAGGTGAACAGAGGGTGGGAACTTTGAGTGCCATGTCCCAGCCCCCAGGGAGGGGGCAGGGCTGGAGCTTGGGCTGTAGAAAGTCTGGAACAGGAGGCCTGAGAGCTTCCAGGTTGCTAACACACCGATGTGTGGGAAGGGGAAGGGCGCTCTGTGCCAGTGGCTCCCCTCCCCCACCCCCAACCCACGCCATGCCCGGTGCATCCCTTTCCCCTGGCTGCTCCCAAGCCCTATGCTTATAACAAACTGGGTAAACATGAATGCTTTCCTGAGTTCTGTGAGTCCTTCTAGTGCACGCCCAGATCTGAGGAGGGGGCATGGGAACTTCTGGATTCACAGACAGTCAGCCAGAAGCACCTGGACTTACAGCTAGTGTCCCAAGTGGGGACAGTCTTGTGGGACTGAGCCTTACCCTGCAGGTTTGTGCTAACTCCCAATGGTGCCAGGATTGAGCTGAACTGTTGGATACTCAGTTGGTGTTGGAGAACTGATGTGGAAAAGACCATGCATTTGTTGTCAGAAAAAAAAAAACATCGCACCGGGTGTAACTGGTGCTTCTATGATCCCAGGCAAGCTACATCATGTATAGAAGGAATAGTGAGCCCAGAGGAAATGAAAAGCATCAGATTAGCCATGTAAACTCAGACCAATAAAGTTCTGGCAAGTATTGTGTATATTTGTACCTCTGAAGCTCCATTAAACAACTGTAGAAGATTCAAGATCCTCCACCCTTTAACTCCAAATGGGGTGAGATAAATATCAAATACGTTATTTTATTATGTGATTTTTTACTCACTCACTCAACAAATATTTATTGAAGTTTACTATGGGCCAATAACTGTTCTAGGTGCTTCTATAGTATATTTCTTATTGTAAAAAACTAGTCATTGGCACCTTTTTTTGGTCCTGTGTAGAGTTGTACCTAATTTTACATAACTGTGTCTAGGTAAAGAGAAAGTTATTAAAATTTGAAATCTTTTTAAGGTAAGCCATTTTTTACACCATACTTAAACTGGTTGGTTTAAATACATCTCTATGATGATTGAATGCTTACTATGCATCAGGGGCTCTATATGTATTATCTTATTTAGTCATCACGACTGTTATTATACCTGTAAGGAAGATAAGAAAATGTAGGTTTTAGAGAGATTAAGTGACTTACCTAAAAAGTGTGATTGGAACTCAGGGAGTCTGACTCAAGAAACCACACTCTTAGCCAGAATACTGATTTTAAGGGGCGTCATTGAGACAGTGGATGGCCTTTACTCCTAAATAAATAAGAACCTCTGCCATCAGCTTAGCTCAGAAGGGTAGGTGTGAGTTACCCTGAGCCATTGATGAGAAGGAATTTCAC